CTCCCACCTCACTGACCAATCCTGACCACTGCTTACATGCACTCACCTATCACCATCCCATCCACCTTCCCCAGCCCCACCCCTCCTCTCTCTATTTATTTCTGAGCTCCCCTCCCCATTTCTGAAGAAGGGTCCAGACCTGAAACATCAGTTTTCCTATTCCTCTGATGCTACCTGGCCTGCTGTGTTCCTCCAGCTCCACACTTTATTATCTCTGACTCCAGCATCTGCAGTTCTTGTTATCTCTATGTTCCAGTAACTTGTTTTTTTCAAAACTGCAATGTCTTTTCTCTTCTTTAAGGTAATATCTTTGCCAATTTTTAAGCCCACATTCCAAAAAATAGAAGTGGTTTTTACATTATTGCCTGGCACATATCTGCGTGAATGTTACTAGCCACTTATCAGCCCAAGCCTGATTGTTGTCCAGATCTTGCTACATCAACACATGCACTCCTGTATCAGAGCAGATTTAAATGGTACTGAATGCAGTGCAGTCATCAGTGTAGATCCCCACTTGCAATGGGGAGGAAGTCAATGATGAAACAAGACCTCATCTACTGTCATGAGCTCAAAATCTGGAGACTGCTATCCTGGATTTAAAAAAACCTGAAACAAGCCTTCCTAATAATGCAGTGGTTGCACCCACATGACCCAGACTTTACAATTTAATAAGGCCACTACTTTCTAAAAGTCAGTTGGAAATGGGCAACAAATCCTTGAATTTTAAAGTGCACATTCCATGAAAGAGGTTTCTTTTAAAAACAAAAGTCCTGCTGGATGTCTTGGGACTGAAATGATTGACCTCCAATAACTGCAAACTTTATTTTGACTTGATTATGACTTTAATCAGTAGAGAGTTTTCCCTGAATGGCATTGATTTCAATTTTATTAGGCCTCCGTGATGAAATGCTGTCAAATACTGCCTTGATATGAAGGCAGTTAATCTCCCCTAATTTCTGCAATTCAGTTGTTCTGTCTGTATTTGAATTGAAGGCTGCGTGAATTCTTGTCTAAGTGGTGTAAGTTGGCTAAATCAGCTGGTTACTGCTGAATAAGTGGCACTTGATAGCACTGTCAGTGACACATTTGTCAAATGAGAAAAGGCACTAAGTGTTAATTATTTTTCCTTCATTCAGTGGCGAATAGTTAACCATATTGTTAGAGACACACGTATACCATTCAGAGTAAGGGCAGCAAATTTCTGGAAACTGGAAATGAATGCGTCCACATGTCAGTGGGCATGCAGACCCTTGGAACAGCTATGCAACTGTGTAGCTTAGAAGGAACATTGCTCACAATAAAGTTGAACTATTTTCTATTATTCATACCTATCATTAACATCATACCTACCATTAGCAATCCCTTTGTATTTTGCTTTAGGCGCTCTTGCCATCTGTTCTCTTTGCACCTCTTCCCCCTTTGTCAACAGCATAAATACCATAATTTCTTCCCCCCCGAATTAGGCAGGAGGGTCATATTGGGCTCAGAACCCCAGCTCTTTTTCTATCCCCTCAGATGCTGCCAGACCTGCTAAGTTTCTCCAGCACTCCGATTTTATTTCAGATCTCCAGCATCTACAATACTTTATTTTTATTTTAACTGAATCTATTTGGTTAAGCCTTAAGGAGCTGTTATATCATCAAGTCATATGAATTTCTAGTTGTTTATCATGGACTCTACAAATAAGGAAACAGAAGAGCAAAGTTGTACTGAGAAATGCATTAGTAGAACTCTGTTCAGGAAGAAACTGGAGTAAAAGACAAGTGGGTTGAAGAACTTTAGTTTCCAGCTCGGTGAATTTGAATTGAGGAACGATAGACTTAGAATTATATAGACTTTACATGACTTCCCAATGCCCTTTTTAGCATTTTAGTATTTTGGACTTTAGGAATAATGACAGCCAATTTACACACAAGTTCACACAAACAGAAGTGTGCAATGACACAGATGATGTGTTTCTGTGATGTTGAATGAGAAATAAATATTGTCCAGTGTTTTGGGTAACGTCTCTTCCAAAAGATAGCTCTTCCAGCGGTACGGTACCGGCTCTGCAAGAGGTACTCCCTCAGGAGTGTTAATCTTGATTCTTGAAACCCTGTGTGGTACTTGAGACCACAGCACTCTGACTTAAAGGATGAAGTGCTTCTGACTGGGCAACTATTGAAATAAGTCGTGTTCGATATAGTTATTTGAAATGAAGTAGGGCAAGTGGTGTTTTTTTGCGGAACATTGCATAATAGCAAATCTAATTAGAGTTTCTGCATTTATGATCAGGAATGGAGAAGAATCAATATAGAAATGCCACAAAGAAATTTGTGATATTTAAAGGGATCTAGCCAATGGACTGCAAGGAGATAGAAAGTTGTTTTAATTCATGGAATGTGGACTTTCTTGGCAAAGTCAGTATTTGTCATAGCTAATCTTGAAATGGTGTGCTGCTATCTTGAACCACTGTAGTTCATGTAGTTAAGGTATTCCTACAAAGCAACAATTTGGATTTCTCGGAGGTGGGCATTCCAGTTTCAACAGTGCAGATTCCTTCTTTCATGACTGGTTTCGTAGTTTGACTAAATATAGTCAGATTGGCTCCGTTATTAGCCCTGCTCTCAGACAGAGCTTGTACCTTCCAGTCTGTCAAGTCTCAAAAATCAAACACAAGGGTTTTATTTCTGCAACTGAAATCATCATTTCCCAACTCATCAGACCGTTTTCAATATTAAAGGTTCCTTGAGGTACAATGTTTGTTCCAAGCACTTAGGGACGTGATCAAGTCAGTTTGCTGCCTCTGGAGGCATTAATGAGGCAGGCAGGAGCCAAGATGGACTTGTTTGTACACCCACCTCAGTTCTCTTAGACTACAGCCCAATTTTATAAAAGGCTGTTGGGCCCTATTTCTCACTCTCACTGGCATTCATTATCACTGGCGCTTGTCCTCTGGTGCTCGCTGTTTTTCCCTCTATCATTCTGGGTGATTTATATACTTCAGATAATGCAGCTTAACCAAACATCATCTGCCCTTTTTAATATGCTTGTATGACCTCTATTGATAGGTGCCTCCATACTTCAGGTTATGGCCCTTGGAATACTGAAAATCAGGTCTATTTAAATTCAGAACTAGTTTTACATGGCCCAGCAGACTTGTGTTTCCTACTTCTAAGTAAGTAAAGTAATTCACATCTCATCATTTTCCCCTCCTGACTAAAATTATATTGATTGGAAATGTGGGGGTGTGGCTATGCATATTGGAACACCAGTATGCTCCCACCACCGTTTACAAATGGCCTCCAGAGTTGACGAATTAGTGAAATTCTGGTGCATAGTCTACGTTTACACTCCAAACAGTGATGACCACAGAAGGAAAAGCTATTCTCCCATTAAAGCCTGTTCTGCATTTCAGTTTGCTCATTGCCGATCTATACCTTAGTTCTATCAATCCATCTTCATTTCGCTTGTCTGACAAAAATCTATCCATTTCAGTTTTGAACTTTTCAACCTCAACAGCCTTTTGGAGTGAGAATTCCAGATTTCCATTGTGCCCTGTGTGAAGAAGTGACATCACTTCTGAAAGCCCTGTCTAATATCAAGGTTTTGGATTTGTCCCACCAAAGAAAGTAGTTTGTCTCCAAATATCCTGTCAACTTTTCTAATAATCTTAAACACTTGAATTCGACCAATCTTCAATTCTCTATATTTTGACTTTTCTAGCCCAGTATTTTTCTGCTGAATTTTCCTCCAATTCCATTATATCCTTTTTGAATTGCATTGTCCAGAAGTGAATAACCTCCTAAATAGGATCTAACTCTACCAACTTTATTTAGCTGTAGCACTATTTCCTTCACTATTCCTCTTGAGACAAAAGTCATCATTCCATTATCCAAGTCTACTAGCTAGTAATGATTTCTGTTCTTGGATGCTAAATCTCTTTTTTTCTATGGTTCCCAGCTTCTAAATATTTAGAAAATACCCTGATCTATTTTTCTTGTATTTAAAGCAGAATACTTTGTACTTCTGCTATCCCACTCCATGGGGAATTGATCAATGACTGAAGTACAAAACAGGCTTGTAACAAATCAATTTTTCACCAGACCAGTTTCTTTTTTTAATTTTCAGACTTGAAAGACTTTGCTAAAATTTAGAATTTTAAATCAAATGAAAAGGACGGTGAATGATTTTACACAATCTGTTTGAACTAGCAACTTAAACTTCTTGTGGAGGGAAGATCATGTTAAATAGGTTGCTGATTCACTACAAGCTACTTTGAATTTCTGGGGACAGACCGATCTCCCCAGTCTATGTGCCAGTTTTGCCTGTTCATTTAATCTATCAACGTGACATTGAAATTTTACACTTCCATTTATATATTTGCTGTACCACCTAACGTGGTGTTTTCAACAAACTTTGATAGCTTGATATTCTTTCATTTAAGAAATTTGTAGCTATAGTGAAAAGATGAGGCGCCTGTATGCTTCTCTGGTGGATAGTATTAGTTATATCCTATCTTATTTGAGAACCTACTATCATTATTCTGTTTCCACTAATTTCAGTGGGGTGCCTCCTATTGCATAGTCTTTTTTAAAAAGAGCCTTGTTTGTTGAATGTCTTCTCAAAGATCAAATGACTAACCTGTGAAAACTCCCCTATTAACCAAACTAGTTATCATTCTTTCAAAACAAAATTATCCTTGCTTTGGCAATTGTTATTATTTTACATATTCTATGTGAACAGCAGCAAACTTTAATTGAAATGCTCTCGCAAAATTGTGCCCCCCATCCCCCACCACCACCACCATCGTATTGCACAGCCAAAACTGATTGCCCAGCTAAAAGCCATCTGATTGAATAATGTTCACCTATCACTTTCTTGTATGTCTGCAAAACAATTATAGAAAATTGTTGTTATGACAACTGGGATTGCACATCCTTGGAGTAGTTGGTTCTGGCTTGTGAAATGCAGTTTCATATATTAGTGTTAATATTGTCAATTTATCTGCTTTATTACAGAGGCGGCCTCCTGATAATTCATTTTATGTAAGGACGTGTAATAAAAATCCAAAGAAAACAAAATGGTGGTATCATGGTAGGTACAGTAACTTTAGACATTGTCCACTGTGTTTGTCTGGATAAGAAGGTAAAAGTTTGACTTAATTTTAAATCATGTGTTTTTAATTAATGAAACATTTGTTTTTCTCTCAATTTTCAGCTGTATTAAATACAAATTGAACAATGTTTTAGATGAAGTTCTGTGTTTTTGATTTAATGATAAAGTACCGAAATTATAAATTTTGAACTGGAAAGGGAAAATATGGAGCAGACACACTAATGATATAAAGACTGTTATTAGGCACATGTTGCAGATGTGTTGAGCACATTGGGTTTTGCTGCAATGCTTTTTCAGAGTCACCATTAATTGTCCCAGTGACTATTTTTCGTTAATGGTGAGTTGTCTGCTTTCTGGATCTATACCGTATGATTGCTACATAATCAGAGGAGGAGTCAAAAAAAAAATTGGCACTGAATTTTCAGTAAGGTGTGGCTTATTAAGCAGTTATCAAGTTTGTGACATCCCTGTGAAGTGTTTGGAACAGAAGTTAAAAGTGCTTTTAGCTGGCCTTTGGTGTAATTAAAGCAATTGGCAGTATTGTGAGAGTTTGGATCAAGTGACAAACAAGGTTATGTGTTTAACTAAGTGTGAATGCTGCTTATTTTTCTGTTGGATGTATAGGAGAAGGATTTTGGACTGTAATAAGGTTATGCATTTAAAAAATCTACTTTAGAACCTACATACACATTGATAAAGCAGAACTACTGTTTTTCATTCATACTGCAGTTTCTAAACTCAGCTAGCTTGAGAGCTGTTCAGAGAAACTATTTTTATAGAGGAGAAGAAAATTAGTTGTTTGGAAGCAGTAAACTAATGCTGCTTACTTATTGAACACAGCAGGCCAAGCAGCATCATAGGAGCAGGAAAGCTGACATTTCGGGCCTAGACCCTTCTTCAGAAATGGGAGAGGGCAAGGGGGTTCTGAAATAAATAGGGAGAGAGGGGGAGGCGGATAGAAGATGGATAGGGGAGAAGATAGGTGGAGAGGAAACAGACAGGTCTAAGAGGCGGGGATGGAGCCAGTAAAGGTGAGTGTAGGTGGGGAGGTAGGGAGGAGATAGGTCTGTCCGGGGAGGACGGACAGGTCAAGGGGGCAGGATGAGGTTAGTAGGTAGGAGATGGGGGTGGGGCTTGAGGTGGGAGGTGGGGATAGGTGGGAGGTAGGACAGGTTAGGGAGGCGGGGACGAACTGGGCTAGTTTTGGGATGCGGTAGGGGGAGGGGAGATTTTGAAACTTGTAAAATCAACATTGATACCATTGGGCTGCAGGGTTCCAAGGCGGAATATGAGTTGCTGTTCCTGCAACCTTCGGGTGGCATCGTTGTGGCACTGCAGGAGGCCCAGGATGGACATGTCGTCTGAGGAATGGGAGGGGGAGTTGAAATGGTTCGGGACTGGAAGGTGCAGTTGTTTAGTGCGAACCGAGCGTAGGTGTTCTGCAAAGTGGTCCCCAAGCCTCCGCTTGGTTTCCCCGATGTAGAGGAGGCCACAACGGGAACAGCGGATGCAGTATACCACATTAGCAGATGTGCAGGTGAACTTCTGCTTGATGTGGAAAGTCTTCTTGGGGCCTGGGATGGGGATGAGGGGGGAGGTGTAGGGGCAGGTGTAGCACTTCCTGCGGTTGCAGGAAAAAGTGCCGGGTGTGGTGGGGCTGGAGGGGAGTGTGGAGCGGACAAGGGAGTCATGGAGAGAGTGACCCCTCCGGAAAGCAGATAAGGTTGGGGATTGTCCATTCTGGGCCTCCTGCAGCACCACAACGATGCCACTCGAAGGTTGCAGGAACAGCAACTCGTATTCCGCTTGGGAACCCTGCAGCCCAATGGTATCAATGTGGATTTCACAAGCTTCAAAATCTCCCCTCCCCCTACCGCATCCCAAAACCAGCCCAGCTCGTCCCCGCCTCCCTAACATGTCCTACCTCCCACCTATCCCCTCCTCCCACCTCAAGCCCCACTCCCATCTCCTACCTACTAACCTCATCCCGCCCCTTTGACCTGTCCGTCCTCCCTGGACTGACCTATCTCCTCCCTACCTTCCCACCTACACTCACCTTTACTGGCTCCATCCCCGCCTCTTTGACCTGTCTGTCTCCTCTCCACCTATCTTCTCCTCTATCCATCTTCTTTCTGCCTCCCCCTCTCTCCCTATTTATTTCAGAACCCCCTTCCCCTCCCCCATTTCTGAAGAAGGGTCTAGGCCCAAAACGTCAGTTTTCCTGCTCCTCTGACGCTGCTTGGCCTGCTGTGTTCATCCAACTCTACACCTTGTTATCTCAGATTCTCCAGCATCTGCAGTTCCTACTATCTCTGCTTACTTATTGTTGGTTTTCGAGGCACTGGCATAAATTACAAATTGGTTGAATCCCTGATAGGTAAAAGAAAGGAAAGTGGAACTGTTTTTGTATGCCCCTATATGATGCTTTCTTATTGCATTATATTCATTTAGTATTTATTGTAAATTCCTAACTCAGTTGGTGGGTTTATGTCATCCACAGTAAACGGAAAAATAGTAAAACCAAAGTCAAGCACTGCCATTGGAATCTATTAATGTTTCCCAACGGTGATGTTTCCCTTGGAAACGCACAGTCAATCCCTTCCCATGAAATTTCTAATACCTCTGATTGTTCTAGTAAACATTTATATCTCATTAAAAACCGAGAGAACTGCAGATGCTGTAAATCAGGAACAAAAACAGAGTTGCTGGAGAAGCTCAGGTCTGGCAGCATCTGTGAAGGAAAAAACAGAGTTAACGTTTCAGGTCCGGTGACCCTTCCTCAGAACTGATGGTGGCTGGGAAAACATCAGTTTATATACAGAAAATAGGGAGGTGGGTGGGGTAGCGAGTAAACGATAGGACAGAGCCCAAAAAGAGTGAAAGACAGTTGGACAGACAAAGGAACTGCTAACGATCAGGCTAGGAGGGTGAATAGTTGTTGATGGGGTCTGTTAGTGATTGTTAGTTGTTCCCTTTGATAATCTTTGAGGTTTCTTTAAGATTACCAAAGAGAAAATGGAAAGAAATTTAAATGTACTGAAAAGACATTGCTCAGCACTTTGACTGTATGAGTGATCTTATTGCCTTTTCGCAGGTTGGCTCAATTTTTTTTATTCATTCATGCAATGTGGATAACACTGGTGAGGCCAGCATTTTATTGGCCATCCCTAATTACCCAGAGGGCAGTTAAGAGTCAGCCATGTTGGTGGTGGATATGGAGTCACATGTAGGCCAGATTGGGTGTAGAATTAGAATTAGATTTTATTGTCACGTATACTCAAGTATAGGAACACGTGAGTACAGTGAAAAGTGTACAAAGTCATCATTCTCTGGCCCCATCGTGATTACAAAGCTAGAATTTTTTTTAAAAATAACAGCCGAAATAAAAGAAGGACAAAGGTTGGCTGTTTCCCTAAAGGACATTAGTGAATCAGATGAGTTTTTCCAGCAATCGACAATGATTTCATGGTCATTATTAGATTCTTAATTCCCAGATTTGTTTTGAATTCAAATTCCATTATTTGCCCTGGCAGGATTTGAACACACTTCTGCAGAGCATTGCTGGGTCTCTGAATTAACAGTCTAATGCCGCTAGGCTATTGCCTCCCCCCTCCAATGGTAATAAATAAAACAGAAATTACTTGAGAAACCCAGCAGATCTGGCTGCATCTTGGAGAAAGTAGTGTTAATGCTTCAAGTCCTGCGCCCCTTCTTCAGAAGCAGGTCAAAAACGTTGGTATTTGTGCTCATGACGGGGGTGGTGGGAGTGTGGGAGAAAAAGAGCATGCAGCTAGATAGAGGGAGTCCAAAGAGAGAAGGTGCAAGAAAGGTAGTCAGACAGAGATAGTTGATAGTAAGCTAGGGAAAGAGAAGCTAGATAGGTGATAATGGTGATTGTGAGTAGTTGAAAAGGAGTTGGCTGTGCCATAAGCAACCCATTTCATGACCGGACCCTGGGGTTTGAGAGGTTACCTAATAGTTAAGGAAGGGGCAGTATTCACGATCTGAAACTGTTAAACTCCGTATTGAGTCCTAAAGGCTGTAAGGTACCTAGGCCGAAAATGGGATGTTGTTCCTCCAGCTTCTTGCTGGAGTATTGTAGCAGGCTTGAGACAGGTTAGCACGGAAACACGGTATTGGAGTGGCAGGCAATTGGAAGCTCAGGGTTATTTTTACAGACAGAACATAGGTGCTCTGCAAAGCAGTCACCCAGACTGTGTTTTGTCTCCCCATTATGGAGGAGATCACATTGTGACCAATGAATACTGTAGTCTAAATTGAATGAAGCGCAACTAATTCTGCTTCACTGTGCCTGCGGCCTTGGTGAGGAAGGAGGAGATAAACGGGCAAGTGTTTTACCTCCTATGATTGCATGGAAAGGTGCCGTGGGATGGTGTTGGGAGTAGAGGAGAAGTGGATCAGTGTTCAGTTCAAATGATTCTATGCGATGCAGAGCACAATCTAAAGTGAAGCACTGGTAACTTATTGTTAACTTTATCATCCATCACTTAGCATGCATTAATGGTGTAAGATGGAAAATTTTACACTTTTTTAAGAACTATTCAATAGATTCCATGCAATAACATACTGAGTACTCTGATATAATTGCTTGTCAAACCTCATTGAAACACCAATTTCTTGTCAAGTGATATCTTTTGAGTTCTGAAGAAGTCATGTCGTTTCTCTCTTCAGATGCTGCCAGACCTGTTAAGTTTCTCAAACATTTTACTCCAAATGTCCAGCGTATGCAGTTGTTCAGTTTTTTTTTCTTTGTTATGGTTTTTATTGCTAAAACAAATTCTTCAGTAGAAGAATGCATGAAAACACAAGTTTTGCTATGATTAATTGAAAAGTTTACAATCTGAAAAATGGATCACTACTTTATTATAAATTGATTGAGATTTAATAATTGAGAATGAAGTACATGCTGCAATCCTACCAGTATTCTTATTCAGGCCTGTTTTTGTTTTGCAGATGATACGTGTTGATGTTCAGATTCTTGGCCCTGGTAGAGGAGAAAGTACTGCTGAGTCCAAAAGCACTTTGATCGGTCAATTTTTGAACTTTAACACAGACTTGCCTGCAGGCACTGGAGACTACTTCCTTTACTGCATTTCTACTAGTGTATATCAGGGCACATGCTGATAGCTGGTTAAGTTCCTGCAACTGACCCTATTTCATTTATTAAGCAGTATTAATGCAGCACTTAGGAAGAAATCTTGTAATTTCAACAATAAATCATCTCTGTTGTTTAGTTTACTGTGAGGACATACCTTGTGAGAAGGTTTGAAACCCTCCTGTGTTGTGCAATAAATGGTTATTGGCGCATGCTTGGAGACTTAAAACAAAAGGAAATCTGTGCAATAAAAACAAAGGGATCCATTTTTAATTGACATTTGCAACTGTATTATTGTACTAAATTTAATGCATTGCTGTCACGTGGCCAGGTATGTAAAAACTTGTGGCATATTTTGCTGCAGCAACAAATTTAATTCATTCGATGAAGCATTCCAAAACTTAAAATTTTTCAATACTGTTGTCTCATTACAAAAATATATTTAATTTATTTTACTCCAAATTACTTTTGGAAAAATACGTTCTTCATGGGCATTTGTCAGGGTCATTGACCAGCCTTCAGTGTGGGCCCTCGTGCTCCCATTTCCCCAAAAAGACAGTTTTAAACTGGAACACAACTATAATGTATTGCTTTGCATTCATTTTGTTTCTCCAATGTCACATTTTTTGTTATCATACTTGAAGCTTCTGATATGAAATGTATTTTGAATGAAAAGCTGTTTTGTCATAATACTGTCTCCTGTAAATTATTTCCTATGTATCTGACACCTTGTCTTTAATTCTTTATGCTATAAAAATTGCAATCCATCTTGAAGAATACAATTAATGTTTTGACATATTACTTAGATATATGTTAACATATATGTTGCTGTGTTGCAGTTTATTAGCTTCTCATTATGAAAAAGATAGAACTAATCTTTGTTGAACCATTATTTATGAATGAAATTAAATGCTGTAGGTTGGAATTTGAAAGTAATTGTAAAAATGAGACTTGAATACTCTATACCACTATTGCATATGTTCTTAATAACAAAATTAGGGCTGAAAGCTAGGTGGAAAATGATTTCAGGATGCAACTGTTGAAACCTGTAAAGGTGATACCTGAGATAAACCAGAGTGATGATTTTTTACCCCCCCCGCAAAGTACTGCTGATCTGTGTAAGAAATGTAACCTTTTGTGTACTGAGTTGCCTTTGTAGCGTTCACAAGTTGACATTTGTTAACACTGGCAACACCTTTTTTGTAAATTTCTAATATAAAATTTAGAGAAATTGGAAACCATATTTTCATTCATGGTAGCCTGCTGATAAATAAGACCAATATGGTCAGATCATTATTATTTTCAGTAATGCAACTGCTCAACTGCAGGGTTAAATCATTAGTTGTATTGTCCCTTCTAAAATATGCAGAATTGTGTTTTTTATGTAAGGGTATTAAAGAAAAACAGATGTTTAGCTTTCCATTTTATTTTAGTTTTATTGATTGATAGCGTTCATTGACTTCCCTAGTGAGTTATTCACTAACAATTTTCATGAACAAGATTTAGTTGATTAATCAGAGCATAGCCAGCAACGCTTCTGAATTAATTGATTTTGGACAAACTCTGTAAATACTGTCCTTCTGTACTTCGGTCTGAAGTGCCTATATTGCCTGGTGTTTGCCATATTATGGTCACGTTATATTAGTAAGGCTCATGACTAACACTTCAGGTTAAATTACTTGCAATCCATCTACTGGCTGAGAGTTTTCTAAATTAGGATTGCTTCATCATACATTTACAAAACTGGGATTAAAGTTGAGGGAATTTTAACATCTCAATAAATGTCCACTTTTTCAGATGGCATTTGTGTGAAACCACAATTCACCTGTTTATTAAGGCAAAACATTATTTACCCATCTGTCTTTGGACATGGGCTGTGCAGCCTGCAATATTTTGGGAGAAATTATCTCAACAAATTCTAAATATCTAGGATACAATATCAAAGCATTGTCCAAGCATGTAAGTGTATAAATTTGAAATCTCTGCAGGACCAGTGTTAAATTTTAACTGGACTCAGCTTATCTTTTTTAAAACAATATGCCAGCTAATTGACTTGATGTAGCCTGAATATAGTCTATATTTGTACAGATCTTGCACTTGCAAACATTTTAGCGAAATGCTGCATTTACCATTTGTTAATATCATTGGAGGCATAAATAATCTCATGGTTTGCGGTGTTAATTTGGCACACTGATGGGTCAAATTTGTATACTGTTTAATTGTACCATATTTTGAGTGTTATACTGTGGAGAAAAAATATATGGCAATGAATTGGCTAAAGAAAAAATAAATCTTAGTTTTATACAATAATAACATTTATTTCTGAATAACAACATAGTATTCTACAAAGGATTTTCTAAGCATTGTTTTCACTTCTGAACACACTTTTGACAACCTTTTAGTGAATGTATCATTAAATGGGGATTTCTTAGTATGCTCTGAACAGACCATATGTAGAATATTCATGCCGTTTTATAAAAACCTGGTAGATTTGCAGAAATATTTTTTCATCCTATCCAGTTCTTCCTGGCCTAGTATTGAAGAATTTAATAGACTGTTTATTGCCAAGAAAGGTATCTACTGAAAATTTATTTAACTTTTTAAAATTGGATTAGTGCTTGAGTTATATAAATTTAATATGTTCTGAACAGTGCCAATCTAAGTTCCCCAATGCTAAAAAGCTTGTGAAAATCTGAATAATATTTTACCCTAATCCTTGAATCTGGCTATGGAAGTTCTAATTGGTTTAGTTTTTAGCTGCAATGTTATTATTAAAATTTGTGTTAATGTTGCTTAGTTTTGTTTGGATGTGAGGAAAACTAGAAAGCGTGAGATTGTTGCTGACATAGGCATTTTTTTTTTTTAGAAGTATGGCCTGCCTGACTTAAGGATTTCTAGGTGCATCCTTGTTATCTCTGGTCTTGAGATTTTATTTTCCCTGCTTTGGGTTCTTTGTTTCTTCCATTATCTAAATCCTCAGCAGCTAAGCACACAGGTGACTCCATTGTCCTATACCTTAAAAATCATTAAGACTCAAAGTTCCAGCAATATGCTCATTAAACTGAGATGGCTTGAAATTAGAGTCTTTAGGTTAGTGAGAGGATTCTTATTCCTGTTGTGTTATTCAGTTAGTCTTGATAGAGAGATGTGTGAGACATTGCTAAGATCATATTTGACTCAGCTGTGTTTTAAAGGTGAGTAGCCCACCAGGTACATTCAGAATTGCTTTTGTTGAAGTTGAACATTGTTTATGCCTAAGTACCGTTTTAAGAGGAGTTATTAGCTTCAGAAGAGAAGAATGTTGGAAGTCCCTCGGACACCAAATAATTTTGATCCAGAGAAATCCTTCCATATGCATGGTAACTACAACCTACACTACTGAAACATTTTCCATTAAGTGATTTCCACAAATTTCTAAAAATGTTGTTTGTTTAGTGTTCCGTGTGAGAGTTCAAATAGTATTAAAACTTTTCATGCAAAATAGCTGCCCAGACATACCTCAGTACTCAGTTCCCAAAGGACATTCTGATCTCCTACAAAATCACTGTAATCAGCAGTAGGATGAAAATCCATTAAATTTTTTACACTTAAATATTTGATATAACTGTTGGTAAATGCAGTGCCCAGTGCAAAACTTAGCCATACAGGTAGGATGTTACCAGGTTCTATCCCCACAATTTTAAGCCCATCTCACCTAAGATTGCAGGAGAGATTAAACAATGACATTGTAGTGCTCGAGGGTTGGGGGGGAGGAATAATGAGTCCTCCCAGACCAGCTGCTCCTGCTGGAAACAAAATGGATTTGGAAGAGACTTGCTTGAAATTGTCTCCAATCAGGAACTGTAGACCTGGAAGCCACAGGACAGGAGTGAATCTGGGTTGAGAAAGCGCTACCCTCAAATTTATTACTACATTCTATAATTCCTGCATATTGCATATTCCTTGATCTTCTGATTTCAGTTTAATTTTCATTCATTCACCTTTTATGCTGTCATTTCTGTAAATGTTACTTGCAGTTTTTACTCAGTGGAAGTAAGAAATGTGATGCACGGACATGAGAATCTCTTCTGTGAATATGTTATTCAATGAATAATCACCTGTGTATTTTATAACTTACTGGTCACTTTCACCACCAGTCTATTGGGACAGCTTTCATAATCCTATCAAAGTTCTGTTCCCTTTAAAAAATTTGGTTTATTTCTAATGCAAGGACAATGACAATGACATGCAACATAGTTGTTTTGAAATAATAAAAGTTAACATTAAAATCCTAAAAGTACCCTTTGTCTTGTACGTTTTGTTGAAGACTTGAGATGAAAACACTCACTGTTTTGAAAATAAAATGTAGTTAGGAATATAATCATCCAGAAAAAGTTTATTCTGACAAGATGTATGACAACTTGAGGGACTTGTCTCATTATTTTTGCTTTGCACTGGTTAAAGCTCATTTTGCATCAGTTATTGCAAAAATACTGTGGGTTTTACTTAATACATCATTTTATACCTTTTTTAACATTAGCACAATGCTGTTGACTTTTGTAGAGCTAACGGTTGTTTGGATGCTGAGTTCATCTGTACAACTATGTCCATTCAGAGTGCACTTTGAAAACAATGCCGAATCAACCAAAACCTGGCACCTTGCCTGTTTATTTCTGTAAGAATATACCTAATAGTATAATGCATTAATTGTTATTTCAAATTAATGAAAACTACTTTGTTCTGATCACCTTATTGAAGTAGATTATATTGAATTGATTAATTGATGTTTTGTTGTTGTGGATACAACTGTGACGTAACTCAAAAGTAAATTGCACTAACTTAAGTTTCTAAGGAACTGTATTTGGAAGTGGGGATAGGTCAAAGTAAGTAATCACAGTCAACAAAAGAGCTACTAATTTAGCCTTTTTACCATTTTTCCCCTCTTGACCCTATTTACCACTGTTTGTTTGTCTACTCTGACCCTTCCTGTCCCATTTTCGGTATTTTTAACCAAATAGGTGACCTGTAATGCTGCCATAACCTCTTGCCTTTTAGGCTTACGCTTGCCCTTTTCCAAATCCTCCATCTCTTTCCCCCAACGCCCCTCCCAAATTAAGTTAACCTGTCACTACTGCCATTGTACAGTGGTTATCTTGGTAGCTCAGTCTCTTCTACTGCGACAAAGTGGCTCAGGATTCCTGAAATTGCTCCAAAGCAAACAATTTCTGGCACAATAAAAACCGAAAGAACTGTGGATGCTGTAAATCAGGAACAAAAACAAAGTTGCTGGAAAAGCTCAGTAGGTCTGGCAGCATTTGTGAAGTAAAAACAGAGTTAACATTTCAGGTCCGGTGACCCTTCCTTAACTCTTTTTTTTCTTCACAGATGCTGCCAGATCTGCTGAGCTTTTCCAGCAACTTAGTAATTACTGGCATAAGTTAGGCTTATATCAATGATGTAGTTTCACAGAGCTACTACTGAATTTTCGTAAGCTCCCATTTTTCTCAACCATATCATGTGCAGCTTGCAGACTTCTTTCAGTCTGAGCTGCCCTGAAGTTCAGTAGCTCTCAGAGCTTCTGTGCAGTCTTTTTTTTTTTAAAAAGTTGTGCACTGCAGCCACCAGTCTAAGTACTTCTGAGGGGCAATTGCCTGTTAGGAGTTTGCTAACAGCTGCACTTGTATTGTCAGAAACCCATTCTGCTTCAACACCCTCTAGCTCCAAACTGCAAATAAATCCTTTCCCAGCAAATGTGCAAAATAATATCAGAAAACTTTCTTAAGTTGCACCTATCACCATGATGATTTATCCTGCTCTGAGCTGATCTTGATCTGACCTTGTAAGGTTTGTGGAACAAGCTAATTTAGCTCTAACTTTCATTGCTTTGCAGAATGAAGTCTCCGGTCAAGTAAGCCCACCTGCCTTTTTATAGCTCCATCTCTTCCCTTCTGATTTTTTTTTATGTTCTCTTGGGTAACCGTCTGAATTGTTTCGGTATTTTGACCATTTCTAGCTTCCAAGCTGTCATCCACTTAACAAAACATAACCCCAAACTTAAATGTAATACACTTCAAGGTGCTTTATTTTTATTTATCCCATCTTCAACAGTTAATTTTTAGTTTTAGAAATTAAAATTCAAATGAACCATGTTCTAGATTTTTATGACATGGGACTTTGTGTTGATTACTGTTTTCACCTCATTTACTGTAACATAAAAATAACAAAGATTAATAGGGAAAGAATGACTTTGGGGAAAATTGAAAAGCACTACTAATAAGGAGGGGAATTCTTTAAGGAAATTAAGGATCCGGTGTAACCTTGGATTAGATTTGGAAGAATATTTTTATAAAGGTTTTGATAGTTACTGCTCTATTTTCCATTGAGTTAACTTTGAGGTCCATAAAATAGAAGCCAGAGTTGACCGCTTCCACCCTCACCCATACTGTTCCACCATTAATTAAGATTTTTTTTCTGAAGAAGGGTCTAGGCCCGAAATGCCAGCTTTCCAGCTCCTCTGATGCTGCTTGACCTGCTGTGTTCATCCAGCTCTACACCTTGTTATCTCAGATTCTCCAGCATCTGCAGTTCCTACTATCTCTTATGGCTGATCTGTTGCTTCCATATTCACATCTACCCCTGATCACCATGGATTAGATTAACAAGAATCTATCCATCTCAATAGTAATAATATTCAGTAATCACATATCTTCTGCTTTCTGAAGCAATGGACCAAAGTATGTCACAGAAGAAGACATTCTCATTTCTGTCCTGAAAGTTTGGTCACTTATTTTAAGCAGCACTTATTTCTAGACTGACACATAAGAGAAAACATCTTTTCCACACCCCACATCAAGAATATTCAAAATCTTATGCACTTGAATCAAGTCACCCCTCACTCATCTAAACTTTAAAAAAGCCCAGCCTGTTCAATCTGTCCTGTTTAGGCAACCTTCTTACTGAAGTATCAATCAGTAAAACACCTCTGATTTGTCTCTGCATTTTAAGTCCTTCCTCAATAAGGAGACCAAAACTGCATACATTGTTCAAGATGTGGAATCACCAATGGCCTGTATAACTGAAGCATATGACAGTTTTACTTTTATGTTCAAATTCTCTAGTAATAAAGGGTAGCATCCTATTAGCTGTAAGATATAGGAGCAGAAGTAGACTATTCAACCCACAAGTCCATTCAACCCACAAGTCCATTCAACCATTCGATTAAAATCATGGCTGATCTGATAATCCTCAACTTCACTTCCTTTTCCCAAAACCCTTGATTCCATTACCCTGCACCTTGTTGTCTCGGATTCTCCAGCATCTGCAGTTCCTACTATCACTGGTTAAAAACTGTCTGTTTCAGCCTCGAACATACTTAATGACCCAGACTTGATAGCCTTCTGCAACAAAGAATTCCACAGATTCCTCTACCCTCTGCGAGATGAAATTTGTCTCTATTTTAATTGTGTCCCTAGCACTGCTCTCTGGCCCTCCACTAGTTTCAGGTTGCCAATCTGAAAATGTTATCTTTATCTTGTTTCTGTCTTCTATAAGTGAGCCAAGCCTCTGTCCATACTACCCCCAACAACATGGGCTCTTTAGTAGCCTTACATGCAGTACCTTGTCAAATATATTTTGGAAATACAAAAACATTATGTCAACTGATTTCCCTTTATCTGCTTGTAACCTTCACAACAAACTGTAATAAATCTGTGAAGCATAATTCCCCCTACATAAAGCCTTGCTGACTCTGCCTGATTTTATTATGTACTTCTAAATGTTCTGCTATCATTTTCTTTATTACATACTACAGCATTTTCCCAGTGGCAGATGTTAAGCTAACAATTTAAAGTTACTTTGTCATTCTGTTTTTGAACAAAGATATTGCATTGGCAATTTTCCAATCCTTTGGGACTTTCCTGAATCTAAGAATTCTTGGAAGATTAAACCAGTGCATCTGTCAACTCCGTAGCTACTTGTTTTAAAATTCCAAGACACAGCCAAAAGCATCCAAGGATCTTATCAACCTTTAGCCCTATTAGTTTCACAAATACTTCTCTTGTGTTTGTTATTGTGCTTATTCCTACATAATGTTCTCTACCATGAAGACTAATGCAAAGTAATGACTCAACTTTGCTATTAACTGCATCCCTGTTGTTAATGTATCCCCAACCTTGTTCCTTAAGGGGTTTGTGTTCATTTTACCTTCTCTTTTCCTTTTTATGTACTTACAGATGCTCTTACAGTCCATATTTATGTTACTTGCTAGTATGCCTTGATTATGGGAAAGTGATAGCCTAGTGGTATTATTGTTAGTCTGTTAATTCAGAAACTCAGAGCACTGGGGACCTGGGTGCAAATCCCATAATGCAGATGGTGGAATTAGAATTCAGTAAGAATCTGATATATTAGGGTCGAATGGTGACCATGAAACAGCTGTCAGAAAAATCCATCTGGTTCACTAATGTCCTTTAGGGAAGGTAACTGCCATTCTTAGATGGTCTAGCCTACACGTGACTCCAGACCTACAGCAATGTGGTTGACTCTTAACTGCCCTCTGGGAAATTAAGGCATGGGCAATAAATGCTGGCCTAACTAGCCATGCCCGCATCCTGTGAATGAATTAAAAAAAAGTGTTCTCCCTGCAACTAACTTTTGTCAATCGTGCATGAGAACAATTATATCCCCTGCACTCAGAATTCTGCAATTGTTCTGCATTTAAGAAATACTCTTATTCTTCAAAGTGGACAACTTCATATTTTCCTATGTA